TTAGTCTTTCTATAATTATTTTTGTGTGGAAAAGGGGGGGGGGGGGGGGAGAGAAGCATGAGGCTTCCAGGGGTTTTGGCTCCAAAGTTGCAGCGCCTATGCTCGATACAGTTCATGTGACCACTTGTCTTGCATGATAATGATTAAAAAATGAATGAGTCGGCCAGATCTGTTCATAGGAACCTGAGGATAGAGCTGTTGGGATATCAACCTAGGTACTAGATGTTGCTATTGTTGATGCTGTTTTGTTGAGGGGGGTTGCTGCTGTTGCTGTTACTACTACTATTACTACTACAGCTGCTGTTATTTCTACTGTTTCTGCTGCTACTACTACAACTAATACTACTAATGCTACTGCTGCTGCTACTACTACTTCTGCCGTATCTGCTGTTATAACCACTACTACAATTAGAGTTATTGTTGGTTCTCCTGTTGCTATTACATCTATTATACTACAGCTGCTGCTACTACTCTACTACTACTACTACTACTACTTCTACTACTACTACTACTACTACTACCACCACCACCACCACCTTTGCTCCTGCTGTTGCTTCTTCCATTACTACTTCGACTAGTTCTGTTTTCCTATTTTTATTACTACTACTTGTACTTGCTACTATTCCGATTATGACTACTACATACTTCTCCTGCTACAACTTTTGCTTCACCTACAACTACTATGACCATTACTGTTGCTACTATGGCTACTGTTGCTGCTGCCCACAATATCTCTATTTCCTCCATTTCTACATGTCACTAAGAAAAAAATAAAATAAAGAGTGATGCATTGAAACACACCCAGATCTCCACATTAACCTAACCGCACCAGCGTCAGAAGTACGCAAGCCATCAGAATGAAAAGAAAACTAAGTTGTTTTTATCATTATATAATTTACAGTTTAATATTTTATTCAGGCATTGAAAATATGTTCCTGTCTTGAAAATGCAGGCATAAATATGTTGTATTTTACAGAAATAGAGACAAGCAAAAAACTGTGCAAGAGTTTCAGAAGATGTTATAATGAATAAAAGAGTTGCAAAGAGAAACATTAAAAAATATAAAAGATAACTGATACATTTCCGCAACAATAAAAGATGTAACTTTTTTAAAAACCGTACTGGAGGGAAAAGACGAAGTCAGTTGAGCAAGAAGTAGACATCGATATAAGTGGGAGGACAACATCAAGAGATGGACAAGCAGTTATCTGAGAGAGTGTATATCAAGAGAGACGGTGAGTGTTGGCCATCATTTGCAGCTAACCTTAATTGTACAAACGGCACCTGGTTATAACATTGCTTGAATAACAAGGTAATGATCATCAAGGTAAAGTTAGTTGTGTATCCTTTACAGGACGTTGCAGAACCAACCCCAGCATTTTTTTTTCTTTTGCCTGTTGTGGTTTTTATAGGCAAGTTTACGTCCAGTAGTTTGCCATTACTTTCTGGACGGTAGGCTTCTAGATACGGCTGTCGAAATTAACCCTAGGCGCAAGGCCCGCAGCTGGCATCAAACCCGTCCCCCCGGCATTACGAAGCGCGCTCGCAACGTCTGAACCACAGACGCCGACTGATCATCAAGTAGCTGTGTACATGAAGGACATGTACATTTTGGGGGAGGGAGTGGGGTGTGGGAAGGGAGTGGTGTGTGTGTGGAGGGAGGGAGTGGGGTCTGGGTGGGGGAGGGATGGGTGGGGGAGGGGGGAGGGGGAGATTCCGTTTTCCTTGCTTGCAGTTTGCCTACTACTAGGATCGCAGCCCGCAGGATTATCACCTCGAGTGAGAATCTTACTCATACACACCCAAGTCTGTGTGTGTGTATGTCTCTCTGTGCGTGTCTGTGTTTGCTTGTCTGTGCGTGTGTGTGTGTGTGTGTGTGTGTGTGTGTGTGCATGTGTGTATGAATGGATGGATGGCTAACTGGATGGGTGGATGGAGATATGGATGGATGCCTGTATACCTGTATATATGTATACCTGTCTGTCTGTCTGTCTGTCTGTCTGTCTGTCTGTCTGTCTGTCTGTCTGTCTGTCTGTCTGTCTGTCTGTCTGTCTGTCTGTCTGTGTCTGTGTGTGTGTGTGTGTGTGTGTGGATGCATGCATGGATGCATGGATGCATGCATGCATGGATGCATGCATGCATGCATGGATGGATGGATGCATGCATGCATGCATGCATGCATGGATGGATGGATGGAAGGATGGATGGATGGATGGATGGATGGATGGATGGATGGATGGATGGATGGATGGATGCATGCATGCATGGATGGATGGATGGATGCATGCATGCATGGATGCATGGATGGATGCATGCATGCATGGATGCATGGATGGATGGATGGATGCATGCATGGATGGATGGATGGATGCATGCATGCATGGATGCATGGATGGATGGATGGATGCATGGATGCATGGATGGATGGATGGATGGATGCATGGATGCATGGATGGATGGATGGATGCATGGATGCATGGATGGATGCATGGATGGATGGATGCATGGATGGATGGATGCATGGATGAATGGATGGATGCATGCATGCATGGATGGATGGATGCATGGATGGATGGATGGATGGATGGATGCATGGATGGATGGATGGATGCATGGATGGATGGATGCATGGATGGATGGATGGATGCATGGATGGATGGATGGATGAATGCATGGATGCATGGATGCATGGATGTATGTATGTTTGTACATGCAGGTATGTATGTACATGTAGGTATGTATGTACATGCATGTATGTATGTACATGCATGTATGTATGTACATGCATGTATGTATGTACATGCATGTATGTATGTACATGCAGGTATGTATGTACATGTATGTATGTACATGTATGTATGTATGTGTGTGTGTGTGTGAATGTGTGCGTGTGTGAATGTGTGCGTGCGTGTGTGTGTGTGTATAAATATATATATATATATGTGTGTGTGTTGTATGTATGAATGTGTTTGTATGTGTGTATATATGGATCTATGTCTGTATATGTGTGTATGTGTTTGTGTTTACTTGAGTAAGTGAGTGGGTGCGTATGTTTGTATGTGCGTGTGCGCGCGCATGCATTTTACCACTCATGCTATTGGGTTTATCCCACCCCCCCCCCCTCCTTGGTATTCATTATATGCATTTTATTCAATAAACATAACATGCTTTATTGATAAATTACAACTGCTGTATGAAAGATGGGTGTTTGAGAGGGCTGCGTGCCCAATTTTTGACCCTTTGAAACTAATATTTGATCGTTGGTTTGCTCGGTAAACTCCGTTCAACTGTAAGGTTCTGTGAGGGCTCCCATGCGGTTACAACATAATATAAAGTTCAAACTAATCGGGGATTACGAAATAAAAGTCTTTTTCATGATTTTCATCGGCGGTGCAAGAGTCATACCGAAGAAGAGATTAGGGCCTTACCACATAATGTTTCCAGAGACAACAGTTGGTACACTATAGCCGAACTTCAGTGCGAAGACGGCATGATAGTAAATCAATTATTATGCATTAATTATTCTTCCCTTGTGGTTTGTGTGTGTTTTTATATGCATGTGAAACATCAACACCGAGGAGCAATGTCGTAAGAGGCGACTAAGAGAAGGGTTGGGCTTTAAAAAACAGCAGCAATAAAAACCAACCAA